AGTTTTGGCTACATGAGCAGATACGAAGCTTGATTTCATTAATTTGATTTTAATATTCACTGCTATTTCTTTGTTCCGGTGTCTGGTCAGTGCTTTATTCATTCTATTTGTTTGTCCCTAAGGTCCAGGCAAAGATTTGGAGAAGGAATATCACACTACATTTGTGTGAGAAATTGACTCATTTTCTTCAGAGAAATTCTCTGGGCTTCCGTAGCATGGGAGTGAGACCAATGAATAGGTGCTCCAGCTGCTTGGGCAGTTGGCTTGAAGATAAGTGCAGTGGGTTTGAGAACATCCTTGATCATTATTCATTAAGCAATGGTCTTTTTAATGTATTCTCGTTTTCAAATCTCAGTAGTGGTGCAGATGGTTCTGAGGAAGAGTTTGCACTACTGTAATAAAATGAACAGATTTGCAGAGATGTTTAGTGTGCCAGGAGAGATCTCTATTAATGGCACTTATAGTTAATCTTCAAAATTTAGCCTGTGTGCATGGTTAAGAAATTTTCTTAGAAGTAAAAAGTAGAGTTCTTTAACTAAAACAGAAATAATAAACCCCAAGCTTTATTTTCATTTTTGTTGAATTCTCTCTTGCTGCTCCTACGTCTGGAGAGCCAGCGAATAGCTCCCAAGAAACCACAGCGCTGAATAAGAACCAGCTTCATAACTGTTTGGGTGCTTTTTACACGCAGATGGTAGGTAAATTGATTGGTTGGCAAGAGAGCAAGTGAGCTCTCAAACCTGCTAGTGTGTAACGAGAAAAAAAAAGTAGTAGGTTATACTGAGCTGAGTAATTGTCCTGTAACTGTTAACATGGTGCATGCTGCCACTGCAGCACTGCAAATCACAGCATGACCAACCTCAGGACAGGTACTGTCCAGGTCACCTCCAGGAAAACACTCCTTAGAAACAGTGTTTCCAACACTCATCAAATGCATGGACTAGACTACACTACCAGACCCTCACATGGTATAAAATGGTGACTTCAATGTGGCCTTGTTACTTTATGCCAGCTGAGTACACCTGATCCTAACATGGTCGTGCTTTTTCTTTCAAAGCTCCAAGCAAACATGTTAAATAATAAGAGGCAAACAAAGGGAAAGGATAGAGAGTATATTAAAATATAACTTCATTTCATACTTTTGCTGATTTATTTTTAGAACATGATAGGAAGTAGTAATATTTCAGTATTAGAGAGTACTAATGCAATGACCAATTTTAAACTGGACAAATAAAATTTTACAACAGCATTGTACATAATTCTGTTATTTTAATGTCTAAAAATAATCAAGAGAAATATTACATAAACTAGGAAAATGTTATAGAAACTGCCATAACAGTAAAAGGTGATTTAAGTCTATTTACTTTACGGGACAAAATCTTTAGCAGTGCATTATTTATGTTATTATTTTGCTTAAAACCAAGGGACTGACCCCCATTACACCCCACAACTCAAACCCAAAACTTTGTGCTGTCTGTCAATGGAAGAATAGCAAGTTGCTTAATCGTCCCCATTTTCTCTTTTGCTATTCATGCTTTCTCCAGGATGAAAGGCCTTATGCAATTTGATAGTGTAACATCAGGAATGCCATAAAGGCAGTTTTATTTTTATACTGGGGCAATTAAAAAAAAAATGGTCTACTCACAGCAAATTTGGAGCCAGATCATCTATGCCAAAAGTAGCAATGACTGCAGTGTATAAAAGAAGCTAGAATTGTCCTCTTCTCTGAAGCAGAGGACAGAAAATTGCTTATATGATATAAAAATCTTGTTTGTAGTAAGATCTTTGATCTGCATGTGAATTCTTATTATTTATAAATAACTGAGTAAAATCTAAAAAACTCTTGACACTGGTTAGTAAAAGAATAGAGATGATTCTAAATCCTTTATGTAGTCAATACAGTAAAAAAATACATGCTTGATATTCAAAACTACCTGTATCTAGAATGAACAGATCTGTTCTTTATTTTGCATTAGATGGTCTTGAAAGAAACTGAAGTGTTTTATATCCTTCATTTCCATATACCTGAAGGAATGACATATTTGAAATTTTTATCACATTGAGAATATTGGTCCACATTAATATAAAATATTTTAAATACGACAAAGTTGTATTTGGGATACCCAGTCAGACATATATTGTCTGAAGTCAGGCTTTCAGAAATGGAAAAATTTTTTAAATTTTGGCTCAAGAGTTCCTGTAAGTGGATTTTTATGTCTCTCACGTATTTCTTTTTTTTATATATAACTGACTCTTCACGCACACACACTTAATGGGAGGGCTCTATCTTACTGGAACGTTACCAGTGGGACCTCTGCTGTTTTTTCAAAATTAAAAATTCAGTGACTGAAAGACGGGGTCTTGCAGATTCTTAACAGCATGAAGAGCGTTTGTTCCTGATTTCATAGTATTCATACTGGATTTTTGGAATTTTGCAGATGCACACTGTAACCCAGTGCCATATTTTGAATCTAACCAAATATCTGCAGTAGGATAGGATACCATGGCACCAGGGTATGGCATGAGCTAATTACTTCTGACATCAAATCGACATTGTAGGAACCAGTCCTTCAACCTGCTGAGTTCCAGCTGATTCTTTCACCAGGTGTAGTCCCAGATACTCACACGAGAAAGTTCCCTACAGCACCAAACCTTTTGCTATTAGGTTTAGCTATCATTTTTAGTTAGCTTTTAATTTCTTAATTCCCACCTGTTAGGCTTCATGTGTGTATCTTAAGTTTTATGATCTATCAGAATGTTATGAGAGAGAGGTATATAATAACTGTATAATCATTTGGGAAACAGAGCTGCAATCTGCACCACAATTTCACATAGGTTTCTCTACATTGGAATTACAGAAACATTTGGGATGTATTAATACTGATAGATATTGAGCACTTAGAGGCCTAAAACCATAAATTCAAATTTGATTCCTTCATCTATGCTGTAAAAGTCTTGTTTACAATTTTTTAACATTTTTACTCTTTGTTTTTATTTTATCTTTTATTTGGACAGGACAGTGGAATGAGCAGCTTGTAGTCCTTCATTTCTTTTTGTTGTTTGTATTTAGTTCCAATTCTCTGTGGCCCAGAAAAGAGTAATACTTGAACAGTACTAACATTTCTGGATTGCTTTATTAAAGTTTTGTCAAAAAAAAACCCCCACCAAACTAATTAAAATCAGACAGTGTGATTTTTAAAAATTAGATTAATTAGCATAAACAATATCCCTATAATAAGCTCCACTGACATTTTTTGTGTTCTTTTCATAGTAGATTACTGTATTCTTGCCTCTAATTATAGTAAATCCTATTACATTAATTTTCATTGTACTGGTAATCGGATTAAAATAGTATAGCATTAAGAGGCGTACACATTGTAATGAAAACAGCTTTATACATTCTAATGAGAGCAACTTTTTTACTGAAAATCGAAAATGGTTTTCATAGTTGTAATAAGTGTGCGAATACACAACTAGAGACATAAACCAGTCTTGAACTAGGATTCTAACCAATTTCAACACATTCATGAAACATCCAGCTAGCCTTCAGACTTATGAATGTGGAAACATTCCCATCAGTATTTAATGAAAGATATTAATGATGCTAAAAAATGCCCTAACTTTATAAATTTCCTACTCATATTATATTATAAACAAATGATAATTAGAAATTTATATTTATAATATAAAACTAAATTATAAAATGAGGCATGTGTATAATTTTTGGCAGGAGAAACTCCTTAAATTTTAGTAGTACTCTCTGTCATTTTGATGTACTTATCCTCATGTGTACAGCTACCATGCACAAAACTCACTACTCAACTGAAAAAAATGCGAAGGCAATGTTCTAAGGAAGTAGACTTTCTAGACAACTGAGCACAGTGGTATGAATTGGTCCTCATTCTAAATTTTTCACAGTGGTTCTATAACACATCTAACACAACAATTCAGAAAGCCATATTTTTTTCTTAGCCTCCAATATTCTGAATTTTTGTTTTTCAGAATTCCACACCCTTTCTTCAGGGAACCATCATTATTCCCCGCTTTTCACAATCTTCCATTTTCCTTTAATTGTTGTGTGCTTGGAGGCTTCCCCATTGGGCATAACATCTAAAAATGAAAGCTATTAACAACTCTACATCCCAAAATCACAGCAAGGTCTGATCACACTTCACCTCAGAGTTACATAGTTTCACAGTTCTAACAGTACACGGTTGGCAGGACTAATTAATTAGATCTTTGTGTACTAAGATTGTGATGTGTTGCAGATGGCAATGTATTTCTTAGAATCTTTTCTGGGAAGCGATGTTACTTACGCTTCTTTTTCTTCTGCATCTCACACTGAAATTGTATGCTTGGTGATTTCTTCCCTCCAGTAGTTTTCTACATGAATAAGCCGTATCAGAGAGCACTAATGGAATTCATGCATATGCTTATTTTTTTCTACATTAAGCTTATTTTATCCTGTAAGAGGGTCATGCTTGTCAGGCATAATGTGATATTTGGATAATTTTGACTTAGGGTGGTTATCCTTTTTTTTTATTTGTTTGTTTTTTTTTTTTTTTAAGGAGTAAAATCTTAGTATTACAAGTTTGCAAGAAATACGTAAATGTCAAAGCACTGGACAGTGCCCGTACAAGTCCAATTTGTTCTAGCCTGATTTCTTCACTTCAATAGTATTCTTATTTTTACAGTAACCTAAAATTTGCTTGTAAGAGTATAAAGCAGCAGCACATCAGATCTGTAGAACTATTTGTACAGGAAACCATTTCCAAATAGCCCTGACTGTAGTGAAATGGGGATATTTGCTTGCAAGTTGCTTATAAACATTTCAATTGCTTAATCTAGAAAACTGTTTCTTCTTGATAATCCATAGTAAAATAAAAGTTATTTATTCTGTGAATAAATTCTCTTAAGATCTTCTTTGTCTTCTGAGAAAACAAGGTGAACATTCTTTTCTTCCAAAAGCAAAATTATTTACCTCTTTCCATTTTGGCAGCTGAAATAAATGACCAGGATGAACTGTTTCAGGAAATGCAAGTCAGTTCTAAATGACTGTCAGTTCATTTATTAGACCCATTAGACCCTACTTAGACCCATAGCTGTTTGCCACCACTCAAGCCAGCCTGTCATGAAGACACTTTAAAGAAATATGAAAACTTCCCCTTCTGTAGATGGTCAGTTATGCAATACAGTGTGATCAGAAAATTCCTTCAAGTGTTTTGGTGTATTTTTTATGATGGTACTGTATTTATCTCTCTCGCTATATCTATCATTTTCACTTAACATGGAGTTTATGGAAACAGCAGTATTAGACCAGAAAAAACCTTTGCATTATATACAATAAATACATTAATGTGAGTACAGAGAAGCCCTAGTAGATCAGAAAAAGTCACAGAATTATGTATTTTAAGTGCAGATTGGAAACACATACACATTTTACTTATTTTTGAGGAGAGAGAAAATAGCCCCCAGAGTCATTGCATCCGACAAACTTGTGGATTCTAAGGAAATCTTTTGCTTCTGACAGATATTATACCTTTTTTTTTTTCTTTCCGGAAAGAAAATGGGAGATGTAGAAGCTTACATATGATAGATTGAAATGGCAAGAAAGTCTGTTACAGTAGCTTTGACATAAATCTTTATTAATATTATTACTATAATTGAGTAATTGTATAAATTCACATTACTAACAACTACTGCAGAAAAAAAAGACCCTCCTTGGTAAACAGGAACTTTTGGATTAAATTAGAGATGGAGATCAGTTATCTAATGTCATGTTTTAATGTCACTACTGTATTGTATCAGTCTCTGGAACACCACCACTTTACCAACTGAACTGTGTAATAATATGTTCTCAAATCATATTAAATACCACAGAAGCATAGAATAGGACATATGTATCAAGACTTTTTTATCAATCATTGGAGTACAAGTCAGCAAGGGGAACAGGTTTATCCTAGGAATAAACACAATATTAATTCTTCAGCATACACAGTAGCACAGTATTGAGAACTCCATGGAATGGATGGTGTAAGGTTATGAAAAGTCTCTGTTATATGCAGAGTAAAGCTTATTAAGACTATCCTAAACTACAAATAAAAGATTCTATTTAATATGTCATAAAATCAGCAACAAGTTTACTTAATGTTTGATTTAGCTCTAATAAATTTTGAACTTGAGTGCTTGAAGTGTGTCATTAAGGTCTAATCTGCCGTCAAAAGTTGCTGATGTGATCATTACATTACTAATAAGGATGTCAGTTATGCTGGTAAGATGATTTTTTTCTTTTTACCAAACAATGTTAGATTTGTTGAACAAAATAAGCTACATCAGCAAATAAAGAGTATTTTTGCTTGTTCACCAGCACAGCTATGCCAGTTAGGAGTGTAGAGTTTTTTTTCCTCACATTATTGCAGAAAAATGACATTATCTGAAGTAACTTAAGCACAGCCAAGACTTTTAAAAGTACACTTCTGTAGTGTCTCCAAGGAGACTTTTGAGTAAGACTTAAATGTCCCTCCCTCCTGTGAGTACAGTTAAGACTGAAGTGACACAGGTGAGAGTTTGAAAAGGATGTCACCTAGTGACAACTGGCACTGCAGAGTAGTGTGAAGGGCTAACAATAAAGGAAAGCAAGATAAGGTTCCAAAATCCCTGTTCCAGTGACAGGCTTATTGATCTCAGATCTAAAACCAGCAGGGGTAGATAATGCTGCAAAATCTTGCTTTGCACTCCCTGGAATCTGATATATATTCTACCAACATTAAAACGGAAAAAATGAGAGTCACAACTTAGGATGAAAGTAGCTTTACACTACAATTACACTACCTTATTCTTAGTGGTTGATGGGAGCTCCCAAAGTACAACTGCCTCAGTGGCATCCTCTAAGTCGCAGTCAGTCAGCCTCCTGCTGCTGAAAACAACCTAAAACCACCATGGCATGGGCCAAGACTCCATCACACACACTGGTATTAAACTCCACCTTCTCGGGATCCACCCATCTGTCTTGTAGATACACTACCGTCCTATTGAAAAAACAAGTATGCGTGGAGTTTGTGCTAAGGACACATCCATTCAAGTGCAGCAGTCATACATAATATCGTAAACTTGTCTGAAAGAGCAGTCTGTTCCTCTGAACCAAGAAGTGCATTGGAAGGACATTCAGGGGACAGGCTTCAGAAGAGGTTGGGACATCACAGTCTGTAAGCAATATATAGATTACACAGTTCCGAGGTGAAGTCTGCAGTTAAATTACCTAAGGAAATAAAAGTTAAGAAATTAGTATGGTTCTGCTTGGTTTTGTACTGAAAAAAAATCCCATGGAACAACTATATTAACTTGGAGTAATCTAACAGAACTTAAATAATTTTTAAAACACATGCTAGGTTCAAAAAACGTAAACAACTTCCATCTTTCTGCAGTGAAGGAGAGTGTTAGACAGAACAGGTTTGCATTGAGAACAGTAAATATCATCAGACTGCCTCTCTTGCAGGGATATCTACTGTATAGATTTTGGTCTTACCTTGGCAAATGGGTCCACGCAGGCCTTAGAGCTAGAATATGGGGATGTCTGGATGCTTACCCTAATCTGGAAGTTGCTGATTTACTCCTGTTAAAAATAGGATGTTCATCTGAAAGGCAAGAAAGACGGGATCTTTTTACTCTTTCAGCGTATGTATACAACATTGCTGCTTAAAGCAAGATGTTATGAAAGCCAACATATAATGAAGCCATTGGTGCTTAGAGCTAAGAAGGAACAGGTACAAGAGAAACAGAAATAATGCCAATTAAAATTACAGAATAAAATGTCTTCATTAATGTCTGATTTTCGTCTCTGTAATGCACATCAAGAAGTACAGAAAATGATACATAAAATGTACAAAAGTTAATTTGTTAGTGCCAGATTGATAGAGTATAATCATTGAGAACTATAGAGCTAAATTTGGGATAACTATAATTATTTAGCAAATTTAAATAGATTTAGGAATTCTTAGTGAATTAAGAATAGGAATCGTATTATAAAGCAGTTGAATAAAGATTTCAGTATACACCCATGTTCCATTGTAAGTTTTTACACAAGGTATGGTTGCCATATTTCTTAACTCTTTCGTATATAAATACTTAAAATAAATTTATGTCCCAAACCTGCTACTGTAAAAATGAAGAACAATGTTTTGGGACTCTCTAATACAGAGTCCTTTTACAAGGTAAAGAACTCTGAAAGCTTACCTGCTTCTTCCAGGTTGATCAGCTTTCAAATAAACTTTGCTTCCCTCTTATCCTTAGATTGCCTGATCTACAAAATTTTTACCACTACAACCAGATTAAGACTAGATTTTTCTTTCAAGAATTTCTATATGAGATGGATTTTTCTAACTGGTGGGTATAACACTCAAATGTGATATTCAAACAGTCTCATCATTCTTTTAGTCAGCATTACCTAGCATATCAAGGTGTATATTGTATTTTTAATAGGATTGTAATTGAATGTAAATGACTATTTCAATTACAATAGCATTCATCAGTAGCTAGCATTCTGATGTCAAGAATAAAATTCAGCCCACACTTACTCTCTTGTAACTTTTGTGGGCAACAGCAGTTTTTTCAGTCAGCTAATGATGACTAGATATGCAGAAGGAAAAAAGCAATTTGTTTGTTTTACAAGTTTTAAGTCCAAGTAAGATCCTTAGAGGTTTCAAAACTGATTTGATGTTCTGTCAATAAAAGATATAGACTTTCCAATTAGTATACTACTAGCATTGTTTAAGTACAAAAATTAACGCCTCCTTCCTTTATCTTCATAATCGTTTCAAGTTAGGCATCCCTCATTGCTTTTAATGCTTGAGCACTCTGAAGTCAAAAAACTCATTAACTGTATTATGAGAGCTGGAGATGTACAGGCTCACACTGAACATCAAGCTGCCATTTGAATTTTTTAAATCGTTTTGTGACACAGAATCTCAGGACATTTGTGTACATCAGATTTCTTGGCTGAAAATGCAAAGCCGTCCAACTCATTAACTACAGCAATACAACTAACGTGTTTCTAATTGGGCTTATAAGTACTGTATTTATGTTCTCTACTTCCTGTGTAATGAACAGGCCTAGCTAGAATGCAGCCTGCTACAGTCTTGAGGTATATATTAAACACACACACACAAAGAAAGATAATCAGCAAAATGCTTATCTCTGAGCCATAAAGTGACAATGCTGTGTGCATTATCTCTTCCTAGCTGACAGTGCTACCTTAAGATCCCAACTCTGGGTAAGGATTACAATTAATACTATTTCTATTATAGCAACTTAATGAAAAGTTGTCACTTGAGGATGGATTTGTTCAGACCTGCACTCTGCAAAATATCTACGTGCTGAAACATGGTATCTCTAGCCAAAGTATTTCCCACCACTGTTGATCAATGTGTCAGCTAAGTGCTACACTTCACTTCAGAGATGTTTGTGCTGATGTCTCTGATCATACTGTGCCATGTGCTAGAACTTATTCCAAAAGCACTTCTCAAACACAGTGGTCTTCTGCTGCTGTTAGTGCTGAGCTTGAGGAGGAAGGCACAGAACAGATTAAAGATGTAATGACAACTGTGTGACACCTAAGGCCATGACACACTTACATGTTCAGCTATTTGTGCTTAAGTACCCAGAAGGTGGGCACCCCCTAAAAACATTTTATACTTTTAGTTTGACTTAATCACCATCTGATTCTCGAACACACTTCAGTTGCTTTCCTCACATGGAATTCCTCACATGGGATGCGCTGTCCCACCGGCCTCCATACCTCACCTTCACCTCACCACTGCTCTCACCTTCATCCTTAACTCACCCTCACCTCACCTCACCCCACCCTCCTGCTGACCCTCCTGTTCACCTTCCCGCTCACGGGGCCGCCCCGGCAGGCCGTGAGGCGTTTGCCCCGGAGTTCGGTTATTGCTACCCCCCAACCGGCACCGTCAGCCGGGAGGACGATTAAAATAACATAGGGCTCCTGTAGGCACTAATGGGATTAGAGGCGAAGCGAGGAGGCGCGGGCAACGCTGCGGCCATGGCGCGCCTCTGATGGCGGGAAGGCAGCGCGGCGGCTGCGCCTCATGGGCGGGGGCGGGATACCCCAGGTAACTGGGGAGGGCAGCGGGGCGGGAGCGCCCCGGCGGCGGGCAGGGATGGTGGGGAAGGCCCGCTCGCGTCCGGGGCGAGGGGAGGCGGCGGCCGCCCGGAGATAGCCCAGGTGAGAAGAGGGCGAAGCGGGGGGCCTGGTCGGGAGCGGAGAGTGCGGCGCGGCGGGGGAGAGGGAGGCGCGGCAGTGGGTCGGGGGGCAAAGCACGGGGGGCTGCGAGGAAGGGAGTGCGACAGCGGGAGGAGGAGAGGAGCGCGGGCCCGGGGGAGGGCAGAGCGCGGCGGGAGGCGGAGGAGAGCGTCAGCTGGAGCGGGGATAGCGGGAGCGCGGCGGGAGGCGGAGGAGGAGAGCGTCAGCTGGGGGCAGAGATAGAGGGAGTGCGGCAGGAGGAGGAGGAGGAGAGCGTGAGCCGGGGGGGCAGAGAGAGAGGGAGCGCGGCAGGAGGAGGAGGAGGAGGAGGGGAAGAAGCGCGACGCAGGGACGGCAGATGCCTGGAAATAAAAATTTGATGATTGCATGCAGCGACTGGAGAGACTCTGTCGGTGGCGGCGGCGGGGACGAGGCAGGGACAGGGGGGGCGACGGCAAAATGAAGTATCAGAAATACCTGACTGTCTTGCAGATGGCCATAGGGGTGACCGCCTCCAACAGGGGCAGTCTGATGCCCTTAAAGAGGAAGCTGTGGTGAGTAGGCACAAACGGGGCCGCGGGCGCTGCGGGCCGGGCGGGCCGAACGCGGGCCGCGGCGGGACGGGCGGGCGCGGCGGCGGGGGGTCCCCGCGGACATGGGGGGCGCCGTGCCCAGGCCCGGCCTGCGGCGCCTGGCGGGCATCGCCGGGGCACAAAGTTCCCGGCGGATTCTCCGCCAGCCGTGCGGAAACGCCGGGAGGCGTTGGCGGTGCCGGCGGAGCTGTCCGCGCCGGGTCCAGCGCAGGACGCGGCCGGAGCAGGCTCCGCTCCCGCGGGGACAGCGCTGCCGGACCCGGCACCGCGGCAATCGCAGCCCGGGTTGAGGGCGCGGGAGCGGCTCCGGCGGAGGCACCGCTTGCGTGACAGCCCGAGTGTTGCCGCCGATGTAGCGCATTGTGCTCCCGCCGCGGGCTGTGCAGAGAGCCGGGTCCGAATCCCCTGCCCCTGCTGACAGGTGTACCGAGAAAACGTGAAAAGAGAGACGCAGATCTCATAGATTAGTGAGCGACAGAGGTAGTGCTGGTCAAATATGGTCGTTTTTATTTAAACCTCGCTTTCCCCCTGACTGATTCTGACTCCTTTTGTGCTTGCTAATTGTGTGCTGAACTGATTTTTCTGGATGAATCAACAACATGTTATGAAAAATGTATTAAAGTATAGTGGTGTAATGTGGGTGAGTAGGCCACCGACAGGCATATGGCACTGCAATACCCTGTCACTCGTGGGTGTGCAAGAGCCCACTGTCAGCTTGATGGGAGCAATGGTATGTGTGTCATCATCAGGGCAAATCATAAGGAGAAAATACAGGAACTTGTGAAGTCAGATTTTCTGGGAAGAAAATATCAATAATAAATTTGTAATTTCTTATCTATAAAAATACCCAAGAGTGATGTTTAGTTGGCAATGGTCGTACAGTTTTCTATCACTGGACTTACATGTTCCTGTGAAGGAAAGTAAAGTGTCACAGTGTCATTTTATTTAAACATAGTTCGCAAATAAAAATATTATCATGTCAGCAGTTGTAGGCTGTACATGAATTGTAGAGTGTGGTTTTTTACTTGGTTTTCCCCACATTGTCAGCTAGCATAGACGGCATCGAGAAAATGTATCAGTTGACGAAACATAATGTGAAACTAGTAAGCTCTCTGTCATTAATTCCAGATCTTGCTGTTCCTTGCAGATAGAACACAATTTGACGAATCTGTTCATCCTGACTGTATTGAACAAAATCAAATGAAGTCTTACACAAAATATGTTGTCGTACAGATAAGTTTTATTACATTAATCCAAGATTTTTACAATGTATTCAGTGGTTTGACTCTGATTATATAAGCTGCATAAAGTGTACCACACCTATTTTATTCTCCCAAAATGCCACTCCTGTGTGCAGCAGTGTAAGTAGTTAGCTGTTTATTATTTTAAGAAGTTTAATTATTGGTTGTGTAAGTTAATTATTGGTTGTCCAGTTTCATATTTCCTGTGGCTTATTGGAAATCTTTTATTTGCTGGCATGTGAAAGGAAAGCTATCTTTATTTGTGTACTTACTTTCTGTAAGTCTGAAAGGACCCAATTCAGCTCCTACTTTGTCTTCAGTTGAAGTTAGATCAGCTCTATGTTGTCCTGTTTCATGGTGCGATTCTGTGCTTTTTGAGGTATAGCAAAATATTATAGTGGATCCATACTAATACTTGTCACAAGCATTGCATTTCATAACATTTCTAGCTTGATATCATGTTGCTGCAATGCAATACTGTATGAAGATTTAGTTGACTAAAAGTGTTAAAAAAATAAGGTAGACTTTTTTTAATTTTAGGGAGATGTATGAATTATTTGAGCATTTGAAAGTATGTCTCTGGGAAATTCTTATTAATAGGTGACATGATATAATGTATTCACATTTTCTTTGAGAACTTTAATAGCATTAGGCATTATCTATTTGGATAGAATTTATGCTTATGGATGAAATACTATTTTCTGATGCATTTAGAGAAATGCTTAAAGAAACTTTGTCATGTTATTTTTTTCTTACTTGTGCGTAGTCTCTATCCAATAATACATTAACAAATCTGAATATTAGAGAGAAGGATATAGTGCTGTTAGTAAAATCAGTGAGATATTAGTGTATATTTCCAACACTTAAACCAAAAGTTGATTTCAGTACTATATAACTGGAAATTTCAAAAATACCTACAGAAAATGTATAAGTCAAGTTAGTCCATGGTCAGAGGATGCTTTCCCTCTATTTTTATTTGCTTATCTTTAAAAATTGACAACACTGTGTTTAACCAATCATATTTGTAAGCTTTTTGATGTGTTAATGTGTGTGACTGAAAGCAAAGACATAATTTAATAAAAAAGGGTTAAAATACTCATGTTTTTGTTGGTGGAGATAATCCACCTGAATCCTACTAAAAGAAAATGAAAAAGGTAACAGCAATGTTTTATTTCTTTAGAGAGCATCTGTCACTCCAATTTTCTCCTGCTCTTCCCCCAAAAATTTAAGTCCTATTCTACATGAAAGCAGAGCTACAAATGAAAACACGAAAGATGGACACCGGCTGTCTCACGATGGGTTAAGAATAAATACTTATTAAGTAGCAGAGAATAAACCAGGCGATTGAACAAACAGAAGGAAGCTATGGCACAGGCTTGCAGCAGGAAGTGGAGGAGACAGAAACTTGCTTTATGTGGAGCTTATCATTTTCTGGTGAGGTTTACTTGGGGCAGTAGAGTTTTGGACTCAGGGAAGGAGGAAGCTGCTGGAGTCCTGAACTGCTGATTCAGACCCTTCCTTGTGTGTGTACAGTGTTGTAATCTAATATGTAGGAACCTAATTGAGATGAATAGGATGTTTTTAATCCTCTTGCTGGAGGGACAGTATTTTGATACAAAACCCACCATCATAACACTGCTAGTACAGGTAGAGTGCAGCAGTGCAAAGGTGATCAAGAAAAACTGACAACTGACCTGGGAGCACCTTAAAATAGTAAATTGTCATAAATATTTACTGAAATCCCAATACATGCAACCTGAGTCCTTTTACAACAGGGAAATGCTAAATCACATTATTAAGGGGAGCTACACAGGCAGACCGTAATTTCTTGTCACACTGAATATTGTGTTTCTGTGCTGCAAGGAGAAGATGTGCAGGCAAATAAACAAACAAATGAAAAAGAAAAGCCAATAACAACCCCCCAACAGGATATCTTAGCAACTCTAATAGTTATTCTCACTAATATTCCCTTCTGTTTCTTAAACATTTGCCTTTACTTTGAAAGACTTCCTCTGCTTTGGATTACACCCCTGCTGCTCCCCTTGGTGCAGGGGAGTGCAGAGTCATGAAATAAGGCAAAAAACTTGTTTAGTGATAAGTTTTCATTGTGGAGATTATGGAAATGGCTGAAACTATTCCATATTTACATTCTTTTAAGAATGATTGGTAGTTATCTGAGGCAATCTAGGTTATAGAAAGAATGCAGGTGCAGTGCACTACAGAATTTGAATTTTGACAGGATCCAGTTCCCATTTGGTGCTACTGTTAAAAGCATGTGTGGTATAGTAGCTGGGATGTTAAATGATAGCTGCTTCTTGTAAGATACTGCACAGGCACAGTTATTTTCAAGAGTGGGAGTAAACTTACTTGAAATCAGTGAAGAGTAACCAGCATGTCTGGAATTAAGCACTGATCTGAAAGCTTTGTTGTTTCACAGTCTTTGTATTGAGGCTGAGACTTGGCTGTAGAAGCCTAGACTTATAATGAAGGATATCTGTTTTATCATTAGGACCATCCCTTGGGAGAAAAGTGCCATTGTTTGTTTATGTTCTAAGTAGTGTCATATTTAGTAGAATCAAATAATGGAAAATGTTACCTTAATATAGGAGATAGCAAACATCAAAGATTGATCTTCTTGGTGTCTCTACAGAACTTTGTGGAAAAATACAGAGCCTCAGAATGGGTATTTTCCATTCTTGACTACTGGTTCCAGCTAATATTTATTTGAAATGGGGATAAAAATTTGAGTTTAGCCCATTGTAAGGATTTATTCATGTTGCAAATTAATTAATACTTTTTTTTTTTCCTGATGGAGGCAGGATACTGTGCTTAGGACCCACATATTTGCAGAGGTGCACAAGAATTCAGCATAGCAGCTGACTGCTCAGTGTGGCCAGCCATTGTTTCAAATTTGCCTTTTATTTTCCCAAACAAATATTAATATTGAGTATGTATAATTGTTAGGATTTCCAGTCGCATAAGTGGGAGTGAATGTCAGCTTTTCCAGCCTTCTGTTTGAGCCAGAAGCCATACTGATCACATTAAACTGAGCCCAGCCTGTGTCTTCACTTTCTGTAGTACTGAGGAAGACTGGCTTCTAATGGGAGGGCATATAATTATGGGCATTTTATGCATCTTTCAACTGATATCTGTGTAGCTACTAGACGTAGAAGTTTCTAAGTTAGACTTTGATATTGCTACAAGTATGTAAATGCTTTTTTAATAGGTTAGGCAGACAACTTGTAGTATATGAAAAGTGTAATAATTACGTCACCCTTAGAAGTCTTGTGGAGGCTATGGAGTTGACAAAACCTTGTCCACTCTGCGTTAACTGTACCATTAACACTACACTTGAAAAACGAATACAGAAAAATGTGTCATTTCAAGACTTGTTTTTTATACATGCTGCTGCTGACTTTTATAAATTGTTCAGAACTCTGAACAAGAAGGGAATTTTTTAAGTTCTTGAAAAATTTTTCAGTCTAACTGGTCTGTCTAGAAAATAAGATGGCGTTAGTCATTTCAGACATAATTTAACTACAAAAATGTTAGGTCATATCAGAAGTTGTAAATAGTAATTATGTGCAAGTAGAAGATAAAGATAGTTTTATTAATAAACCCCTGTTGTATACAGTCCATCCAATTATGTTATAATGTGTATTAAGTTGTTAGCCCTTGATGTGATGCTGCACCTTGAAGTC